TCCATGTGGACCAGTACCTCAAGAAAGTGTTCAGGGTTGATCGTGAGTACGTCGGCGGTGAGGCTCTCTTCGGGAAAGTGGGCCACTGCATGTGCGCTCACCAGGAGGATCGGGAGATCAGCATCTTAGACGATCAGATGACTAACAGGTGCGTCCCAGTCAGCGCGGTCGTTGAAGTGAATAAGAAGTTGCCTACGCCGAAAGCACTTCTGACGTTCGAGCACGTGAGCAAGAAGATGAAATATCAGATGCTTGGCAGACTCGGCATGGTGAGCGCGGACTCAGCACCCCCAGTGGAAGTAAAGAAGGATTCCGCACTCGTGGACGGACACACCATTCAGTTATGGTCAGTTATCCTGGAGCACACCTTCCCTCAGGCCAACTTCTTCACCTGGTCACCTGATAGCATGCACGTGTATTTCTCGGCACTCAGGGATCAGAACGAGGTGTGTCAGAAAGCAATGGAAGAGGCCATGAGGAGAGGTCTCAATCGATACGATAAGATATCCCCCCCCCCCCCCCCCTTCAGTGTCCTGAGGGCGCTGGGGAGCACAATATGGGACACTGGGCCCTCCTTGTCGCTGAGACGAGGAACGAGGGCATCATGTCTAGCAGAGCCGCGCATCAGGTATTACGAGACAATGAACGAAATCAATAAGGTGTGTCTGGACAGAGCCCATCAGATCTTGAAGGCAGTCGTGCCAGACCTCAGCCAACAGACGCCAGTAAGCGCGCTCAGCAGACACCAGATCTTCAGGCAATCAAGTACCGACTGCGGCTATTGGGTCATGCATTACATCGACGTGGAGGTCAGGAGACTGGCAGGTGAGGGAGGAGCTCCAGTCACGACGCCTAAGGACAGGAAGAAGGCTGTCATCAGAAAGTGCGTGAGCGCCGCGAAGCAGCTGGAGAAGGCGCGGGAAACCTGGCTTCAGGAAGCAGCCATTGAGGAGGCGAAGGTCAAGGCTGCGCAGCAGCACCTTCAGGCCAAAGCAGATCGGAAGCAAACCGAGCAGAGGGGGGCAGAGGAGCTGATGAGAAGGGCTGAGGAAGCAGCCTTGGTCAGCAACTGGTGCAAGACGCTGCCAGATGCCATCCCCGAGGAACCGAAGGAAGTGAGGGGGAGGTTGAAGCAGGAGGCGACTCAGGTATTGAAGGACGAAGTTAAGGCCACTGTGCAGAAAATCCTGGAGGCAGAGGCTGAGGCCCTTAGTGAGAGGGGCCGCCGAGGAAAAGGCTCAGAAGAAGGCGCCGGATAAGGGACAGGAGGCGCAGCAGGCGGATGAGGCTCAGAAGGAGGCGCAGGCGCAGGCCCATAAGGAGGAGAAGGTGCAGGCGCAGCAGGAGGCGCAGCAGGAGGAGAAGGTGCAGGCGCATAAGGTGCAGGCGCAGGCGCAGCAGGAGGAGAAGGTGCAGCCGCAGAAGGAGGCGCAGAAAGGAGGCCGCAGCGCCGAAGGAGGGCGCAGAGGAGGAGAAGGTGGAGGCGCATCAGGAGGCGCAGAAGGAGAAGGCTCAGAAACAGGCGCAGGAGGAGCTCGCAGCGCTAGGTCATAAGCAGAAGGGCGAGAAGGGCTTCGAGGCATGGTTGAGAGGCACTTCCGAGCCAGTCCTTGAGGCTGCTTTCCATCAGGCTCAGTTTACATACGTAAACAATGACGAGTGTCAGGCATACGTCAGCCACATGAAGATGATTCAGACCGTGCAGGTTTGCGCCAAGTGCGAATGGACTTCAGGCTGGTGCTCCTCCTCCTCCTCCTCCTCCTCGTCCTCCTCCTGCTCTTCCTCCTCGTCTCCCTCCTGACCTGGGGCTGCGTCGCGCGCAGCTACCCCCGCGCCCCGAGGCACTGCATCAGGCACGGCAGGCCACCTGCGTGGTGGGGGATGAGCGCGATGGGCGTGCTCAGGGGCATGTGCAGGTGAGCGTTCCTAAGAGGCCGCGTCTGGCGCTGTCAGAGGGAAGGGGAGGGTCTCACCTTTGTTTTTCTGATTTCTTTCTCAGCTCTTCTAGGTTTCTCTCAGCTGGCTCTTCGCTTTTCTCAGCGTTCCTTAGAGTTTCTCAGCTTTTCCTCAGCTTTTCTCAACTTTTCTCAGCATTCCTTAGCTTTTATCGTGCAGATGTTGTGCTGAGTTTCTCTCAGCAATCTTCAGGCCACAGTTCAGAGATCCAGCGCCTCAGCGCAATACTTCTGGCTGCAGTTCCACCGGTTTCAAGCTGGGGACTCGCTCAGCGCACTTCAGGCTGGAGTTCCGGTCGCCTGCCCAGGCCAGTAGCAGGAAAAACGGTCATCATCATCGCGCAGATGTTGTGCTGAGTTTCTCTCAGCAATCTTCAGGCCACAGTTCAGAGATCCAGCGCCTCAGCGCAATACTTCTGGCCGCAGTTCCAGCAGGTTTCAAGCTGAGGGCTCGCTCAGCGCACTTCAGGCTGGAGTTCCGGTCGCCTGCGCAGGCCAGAAGCAGGAAAAACGGTCGTCATCATCGTCAGGTCATCATCGTCAGGTCATCATCGTCATCACGGTCATCATCGTCATCACGGTAGCAGTAACAGTTACAGTCACGAGACGCAGGAATTATTTATTGTCCTTTCCAGTGCGCGGTGCTAATTATATCGCTCGGCGAACCCCCCCCCGAATAATTATGTAATTTCGGAGTTGTGATATGTATAACCCCGGGGGGATCCTTAATCGCTGGGTTAGGTTATGCCCGAACGACCCGGATTGGCCTCAGGACTATGCCCGAACGACCCGGATTGGCCTCAGGACGATGCCCGAACGACCCGAATGGCTTCAAGACTATCCCCGAACGACCCGGATTGGCCTCAGGACTTTGCCCGAGCGACCCAGATTGGCCTCAGGACTATGCCCGAACGACCCGGATCAGCCTCAGGACTATGCCCGAACGACCCAGATTGGCCTCAGGACCATGCCCGAACGACCCGGATTGGTCTCAGGACTATGCCCGAACGACCCGAGCACCCGCTCGAGCGAGCGAGCGAGCAAGCGAGCGGACCTGCAGCCGCGGCGGTCAACCTTGCCGTCACGGCGGCCAAGCCTGCGGCCGCGCGCGGCTGCGGCGGCCTAGCCTGGGGGCTCGCCCGCTCGCACGCTCGCGCGAGCGAGCTAGCGAGCAAGCGCGGTCACACAGCCACGCCTGCGCCCGCGTGCGTCTGCGGCGGCCTCGCTTGGGGGCGCCCGCTCGAACAGCCGGCGAGCGGACCCGGCTCGCCCGCTCGAGCGAGCGAGCGGACCTGCTGTCACGGCGGCCAAGCCTGCGGTCGCGTGCGGCTGCGGCGGCCTAGCCTGCAGGCTCGCCCGCTCGCTCGCTCGCGCGCGCGCGAGCGAGCGAGCGAGCGAGCGGCCCCGGCCCGGATTGGCCTCAGGACTGCGCCCGATCGATCCGGATTGGCCTCAAGACTATGCCCGAACGATCCGGATTGGCCTCAGGACTATGCCCGAACGGCCCGGGTTGGCCTCAGGACTATGCCCGAACGGCCCGGATGGGCCTCAGGACTATGCCCGAACTAGCCGGATTGGCCTCAAGACTATGCCCGGACGACCCGGATTGGCTTCAGGAGTATGCCCGAACGACCCAAATTGGCCTCAGGACTATGCCCGAACGACCCAGATTTGCCTCAGGACTATGCCCGAACGACCCGGATTGACCTCAGGACTATGCCCGAACGACCCGGGTTGGCCTCAGGACTATGCCCGAACGACCCGGATTGGCCTCAGGACTATGCCCGAACGACCCGGATTCGCCTCAGGACTATGCTTGTGAAGGAATACGGCAGCTAAAGAAGCTCATATGGGAAAACATTAAAGTAACCTCTGGAAAACCTGCAAGTAACTCCAGGCAAATTCATAAATGTATGGTTGTTTTAAAGCTCCAAGTACGTACGAAAGCACGGGGCCGAGGAAAGCGAGGCGCGGATTGCGTCGAGAGCCCCCCCGCGCCATCTGCGGGCACCCCGCGCGCCTCTGCCGCCAAGGGCGCTGCGCCAGATCCGTTCTTATGGGGCGCAGCGCGCGCGCCCCGAAGCCCCCAGGGCACGCTTCTGCACAACCAAAATCAAACGCAAAAAACGGCCCCATCGACGCCCGATTCAAAGCCTACTGGGCTGAGTCGGGGGAGTCGCCAAGCGGAGGCGCGCCTAGCGCCCGAGCGGGTCCAAAGCCGAGGCCCGCCTCCCGAGGGAGGGGAGGCGAAACCGCCGCGCGAACGAGCTAGAGGGCGCAACGGGGCACTCGCGCGCCCCTCAGGAACAAGGAACGCCGAGACTTGGCCCCCAGGGGCCCGCCAGCCGTTCTTGAACCAAAATGGCAACGGCGGAGGGGGGGAGGGGGGGGCGGGCGCGGGCGGAGGCGAGAGCGAGGACGGGGAGGACGACAACGGGGGGGAGATGGGGGGAGAGGACGAGGGGAAGAAAAGCGAGCACGACAGCAGGGGGGGGGGAAGGGCGACGACGAGGGAGATACCCCACAAGTGCGGCCGCGGCCACCCGTCGGCCTCGACGCAGGGCCCAGGCCCGCGGGGCGGGCGGAGAGGGGGGAGGAGGGATGATGAAGGTCAGGGGTAGCGGGACGGGAGATTAAGTGGAAAAAGAGGGGGCAGAAAGGCGATGAGGAGGAGTGGCCAGGGACGGCGGAGCAAGGGAGCGGGCCTCCCTCCTGCGCGCCATCTCGCCCACTCCCCCTCGTCCACCACCCTCCCCCATTGCGTGACGTCGTTTGTGGTGTTGGTTGTTGCGCTGATGCACTCGGTGCTCCAGCGTGGCGGCGCTGTCGGTGGCGCGGCGCCGTCCACGCAGCAAGCAAACTTGGTCGTGCGAACGTGCCGCTGGTGCCCGTGGTTGGTGCTTGCGTGTGCATGTGTTGTGAACATAGCATAACATAACATATCAAACTTATACAAGAACATGTGCACCACATACCACATGGGCTGGCCCCGTCGCTCTGACAGCGAGCTCGAGGGCTGGCGGTGGCCGGCAGGGCGTCGCCTACCTACGTCTTCTTGAGGGCCTGCATCGCCCTGGCGAGCAGCACAGGGTGGAGAAGCTCCTTCTCCTTTTTCATGCCCGTCTCCCTACGGAAATGAAGCATTTCGCTCTGGGCGGCATCACGGAGCGGACCGAGGTCCGCGATGGTCTTGACCTTGTGGCAGAGGACGCCGCTGAGTTTCGTGATGTGGCCATCCAGGATGGTGTTCTGCACTTTGCCGACGAGCTGTGCGTCGGGCTCGCCACCGCCAACTGCGGCAGCAGCTTGGTACATCTGGAGGGCCTCGCGATGCCGCAAGCGGCGAGACGCGGCCATCGTCCTCTCGTTGCCTCCTTCCTCTCCTCGCCTCCTGCCTCCCCTTGCCGTCTGATTCCCTCTCCCGCCTCTTATCCTTCCTTCCTCTCCTTGCCTCCTTCCCCCTTGCGTCCTTCCTCTCCGTGCCTCCTTCCTCTCCTTGCCTCATTCCTCTCCGTCCTCTTTCTCTCCTCTCCTTCTAGGCCCGCCGTGCGAGACGCGGCCCTCCTCCTCCTCTCCTTGCCTCCTTCCTCCCCTCGCGCTCTCCCCCGCAACGCCTTCTTCGTCTCGTCGATGCAAGACTCGAGCGCCTTGGGGTTGAGCGTGAGCAGCGTCACCTCGGCGTGCGCCAGGAGCTCGTCCCAGCTCTTGCCTTTGAACGACTCCTGCCACGGGATCGTCTGGTCGCCGTCGCCCTGCTGCGCGCCCTTGGCCATGTCGGCCAGGCAAGTGGCCACCTTCACGAGGCCAGCAATCGCCCCAGCCAAGTTGGCGCTCAGGATGCTCCGCAGGCGGTCCGAACTCTCGGCGTAGAAGGCCTTGATCCTGTCGGCAGCGTAGCTGGCCGCGGGTGGCACTGTCAAGCTCAACTCGGCGAGCTCAGACGCCGTCTGGGTGAGTGCCTCGAGCTTGGCAGGGAACTCAGCGAACGCCGAGATGCCCTCGACCAGCTCATCCTTCGTGCGCATGTCGGCGAGGGGCGTCATCATGCCCCATGCGTCCAGCATGTTGATCGTCTTCTGCAAGTGGGCGACGTAGAAGGTCTGGCTGGCGCGGTCACCCAATAGCTGGGTCAGCTTGGAGGCGAGGTCCAGGACGTGCAACGCGCCAGCCATGTTGAGCAAGCCGACGTTGGCCATTGTCATCTCGAACGCCACCGACTCGGACAGCGCAATGGCGCACTCTGAGATGGTCGCGATCTCGGCATCCTCGAGGGCGCTGCACTCGATGAGTGCGCCACTCACTGCGTTGAACAACGGCTGGATCTTCGACGCGACGAGCTCCAACGTGGATGCATGCGGGCCGCGCGTGGCGACGTTGAGGACCACCTCGCACAGCATGCAGATCGCCTCGATCTTGGAAGCTTGATCGAACTTGGCCAACGACGCAGCGCTCTGGGTCTTCCACTCGTCCACCTGCCTGTCGAGCGGCAGCAACGCAGACGCCTCGGCGAGCACGGCACTCCACCTCTGCATCGTACCTGGCCCCGCAACAGAGGCAGCGAAGCGGGCGTGCTGTGCAGCGAGGGCGGCTGCCATCTTACCGTCCAGGAAGTTCACCGACTGAGGGCGCAATTGGGCCTTCATGATGGACACCTCCTTGATGTGCTCGGCCAGCGTGTCGTATGTGCCCGCGCCTGCCTCGAAGGTGTCGGCCCAACTGCTCAGCTCGGCGACGCGCGCGTGGTACTTGAGCAAGCCAGGGGCGTACTCGATGTAGTCGGACAACATCTGGGAGCACCACGTGTCGGAGTCGACCGCCGCGGCAACGATCGTCAAGGGCGACCTGGTCGTCTTGCCAATGGCGGCCTTGAGGCGCTGCACGCACTCCTATGGCCCCCGAAGGGGTCGGGGCCAAAGCAACGTTCAGTTCGGCGCGGTGGTTTGTTTCGGGGGGCGGCTACGACCCAGCGAGGGTCTGGACGTAAGTATCGGCTGCGTTCAGCGACCGCTGATCTGGCCCGAAGGAATTGCAAGACACACCAAAAACGCCACTTGAAAGTACGCCCGCCCCTAGCTCCAAAAACGCAGCCGTGCGTGTTCGAGCCCGCGCGGGCGCGAACGCCCGACGAACACTAGGACCTTCAGGGACCGAAAACAATGGTTGAGGACGTTTGGCCCTGGGGCAAGTACCGAACACCAACGCAGATGAAATGAAACAACCACGCTGGAATGCGGAAAAGCTCCTCCTGGCCACTAGCGCAAACTAGGTGGGGTGGTGGCCTGGGCCCGAGAATCCTCCAGCTCGGGGTCCAGATCCAAGCGCGCGAGCGCGTGCACGGCCTGCCACGCGTCGAGGCACTCCGATATGCACGCGCCCGCGCTCGCGTCGAGCTCCAAGGTGTCGACGTCCTTGAACCGATCGATGCAGAACTTCAAGTAGGTCTCCACCTGGGCGCGTGAGTCCATGCCCTTGGCGAGCATTGGGACCAGCATCGCATCAACTGAGATGTGAACCAGCAACCTCGTCTTGGCGCCCATCGGCAGCTCGATGTCACTCAACCGAGGGTTCTCAGGGTATAAACCTGAGGCCAGCTCTGAAGTAGTGAACGGGTCCAGGGCATCAAAGAGACCGATCATATTCCCCAGCTGCTGCTGGTCAGCGATCTTCATGTGCAAGAGCTTCTCGCTGGCGCCCAAAGGAAACTTGACCTTCTCATCCTTCATCTTGTCCAGGTAGATGGCCAGCTCACTTTTCTCGATGCCCTGAATGGTGGCAGGTTGGAGGGCCTGGGCCATGAGGATCAGCGTGATGAAATTGTTCAGCAGCTGCGCGTCCAGCCTGGCAGCCTCGTCATCAGCAGCCATATTTCTACCTGCTGCCTTCTTGCACGCACTGGTGGTCCGCCCGTCCACCTGGCCGTCCATCACCAAGGACAGGTCGATCTTGCTCTTCCAATACTCCACCGTGTTGCTGTCTGGCAGGCAAGGCAGGGCCCCTCGATCACACCACTGCCATCCAACCTCCATTATCCACTCCTCCTCCTCCTCCTCCTCCTACCACTGCTCATCCCCCATCGTCGCCAACATGAAATAACTGCGGGTGTCTGGGGCGCCAGCCCACGAAACACGCAGTTCCCTCGAGCGAGGGAACTGCGCATTTCTTTGAGATACTGATGTTTGGACAGGGACCCCATGGCAATAAAGGCCAAACATGTTACACCTAACCAGAAATACACATTGACCATCAATGTGTAGTTCGGCGCGCGTCTCGGGCTGAGCCCCGCGTTCATACATGCACAATTCCATCGACACAACGATCGCGGCTAGCCTGCACTGCCAGCCTCCATATGAAGCCAGCGGTGGACGCCGCGCCCCCGCCCTCGGACATGCCGCCGCCGAACTGGGGCGCCGACTCTCTCGGGGACCCGCCGACGCAGCTCGCCGAGCCCGCGACGCCCGAGCCTGCGTGCCGAAGGAGTTCGGCCTGCTTCGGCGGGGTGCCGCCTGGAGGCAACGCCCTGCCCTTCTGGCCGAGAGGCGCAGGAAGGGGCGCTGCGCAACCAACCAGCTCGACGTCATCATCGTCTGCAGGATCATATGCGCCGCCGCCTGTCGAGCCGTCGGCAGCTGCGCCCTCGCCGCCGCCGCCCGCCTGACCCTCGGTGCCGCCATCGGTGTTCTCGCCGAGCCTGGACTGCAAGAAGTCCTCCAGCTTCCACAGGTAGCCCATCTTGTCCTTGGTAATGATGTTCATGATGCCCTTCCCGTTGTGCATGAGCTGCGTCCTGTGGGTGCTCATCACGGGCCCCTGGTTGGGCCACAGCTGCTTCGTGCGATCCATGACGAAGTGATCGCGGGAGACGCCTGTCCGCGATACCACGTCCACGGTCCTGTAGGACATCATCGGGTTGACGAACCAATACGCCATCCCCCAGCCATCCTCATCCTCCTTCGGCACCTCCGCGGTATACAATGAGCTCGCCGCAGCCTTCGTGATGCGCCTAGCGCCCAACGCCTTCCTCAAGTCGGACTCCGTCAAGACGATGTACGACCTCCTGGACTCGATCGTGTGCTCCGTGCGCTCGGCGACCTCCTGGACGGGATTCGGCGGCGGCTCGTGCTCATTGAACACCTTCCTGGCGGTGATCACGGACTGCTTGATCTCCTCGTCGCTCTGGCTCAGCTCGCAGAGGTCGTCCCACTCCAAGTGGCTGAACGCGCCAACCCACAGGGAGAAGCACCCCTCGCACTTGTTGCCCATCGCCACCTCCATGGTCCCTGCGGTCTTCTTCTGCAGCTTCCTCAGCGCCCAAAGCGTCCCGCCCTGCTGGCCCGCCCGCACGCCCCCGACCTCTCGCGAACCCCGCGCGCGAGGAGGGGCCGCGAAAGGGGTTCGCGAGCGGCGTCGGGGGCGCGCGGGAGGACGTGGATGAGAGGCAGGGGGTGGCCGACAGCCCGACGCGACCAATGTCCTTGGCCATCGCCTTGCACAGGCCGCACTGACAGGGATCGCCCACGGGCTCCTTCCTCATCGGCGCCCTCCTGGCAGGGATCACCCCGACGACGGAGCCCGCCGCCGATGCCGCGGCGCTGGCCGCGCTGGTGGCGGCAGGCGTCCCAGGCGCAGGCGACTTCGCCTTCGAACCTGCTGGCGCCCTCTTCGTCGGCCGAGGCTTCGGCGGAGGCGGGGGCGGCCCCATGGCAGACCTGGCCTTCTTGGGTGGAGGCCCGCCGCCAGGCATGGCGAAGGGGCGTGTCTGCGCCAGGCGCTGGGTGCCACAACCTCCTGCCTGAAGCAACTCAGGAAACTCATGCGCCAAAACGGCTGCAACTGCCCGAGATCGCCCACGCTAGGCCCCACGGGCCGCCCCTGGACGCTCGGACGCAACAAATGCCACATAACGCCTTTACTGCCCCCCCCCCCTCCCCACACCAGATTCTGATGAAAATCCAGAACTGGAAATATTAAGTTCTTTAAGCGAAAGCTATATGAACTAATGACAATAAAGATGATAATCTTTTACTGCTTTGA